ACTCTTTGAGCTGGTGGAATCCCTTAGGAATGACCCTTCCCCGGTCAATTACTTTATCTGATTCTGAATATCTTTAGATTGTTCTTCGATGTTTTGAGATCTTTAACCTACTTCAACTCATCAGAAAGGTTACTTTCCTTTCTGAATCAATGTGGATTAAAATCTCACCGATTAATGTTTTACGCTGCAGATTGATGATGTGGTGAAGATCCAGGCATTCATCAGAGCCAACAAGGCGAGAGATGACTACAAGACTCTGAGTAAGTAGGAGATGAAAGGTGGGATAGCCTGGCCGAGTTGGTCACCCACTTTGTCACATGGCCTCTTCAGTTTAGTGGTCATGTGACATTTCTGCAAACTTTCCACAGTCAATGCTGAAAATCCCCCAATGGCGGTGGTGAGGAAGTTTGTCCACCTGCTGGATCACAGCGACCAGGACTTCCAGGAGGAGCTGGAGCTGATGCGGCTCCGTGAGGAGGTGGTCACAAACATCCGCTCCAACCAGCAGCTGGAGAACGACTTGAACCTGATGGACATCAAGATCGGCCTGCTGGTGAAGAACAAGATCACCCTTCAGGAGGTGGTGTCCCACAGCAAGAAGCTGACCAAGAAGAATAAGGGCCAGTTGTCCGACATGATGATGATGAACAAGCAGAGGGGGGGCCTGAAGGCTCTCAGCAAGGAGAAGAGAGTCAAGCTTGAGGCCTATCAGCATCTCTTTTACCTTTTACAGGTGACAGTCCTTCACAGTATTTGTCTGTTGCTGAATTCCTGTTTCAAACTCACCTGTCTGCCTGACAACACGTCTCTAACCATCTGATTTGTTGTAGACCAACCCGACATATTTGGCCAAGTTGATCTTCCAGATGCCACAGAATAAATCTACAAAGTTCATGGACTCTGTCATCTTCACCCTGTATAACTACGCCTCAAACCAGAGGGAGGAGTACCTGCTCCTGAAGCTCTTCAAAACTGCTCTGCAGGAGGAGATTAAGTAAGAAACAAAGTCCTGATATCATAACTCATGCTATTAGCTTTACAAGAGAAGAATGCTGCTGTCTAACTGAGTCAGCTCAGGCTCTATGAGTCGGTCGCTGCGTTCTCTTTATGATGCCGTCTGCATCTGTAGTGAAAGATTTGACGTCCAACTTGCTCTGCACTGTGTTAATATGATGGTCTCCATTCCAGTTAGCTTGGTAGAGCTTGAGACTATTACTGTTGGGTAAAGTCCCACGTTGGGCACCAATTTTGTTGGGAAAAAAAGTTTTGTCCAGTCTAACTTTCTAACCTGTGTCAATTTGTCGACTTGCTTTACTCTGGATTTTCACCAGAGTTTCTCAGAATCATCACATCTGGAGTTTCTTTCAACAGATTATGTGACTGTTTATAACAATGTCTCAATCTTACTAAATTTTGCTAAGTTGTAAGTTTTTCCTGGCAGCAAGCTGTATGTCATTACGTTTGTGATGGTAAGACAGAAAAGGCCTTTTCTTGGCATCCCTCCAAAACAACCCGTTAGCATGTAGCTGCCACCTAAGGATTGTCATGGAGACGCCCTCATAATGGATGGGGGCAAGGTATACTTGAGACTTTGTCCCTGTTTGTCACAGTTCCAGTTGTTTCTGAATCCTTGTAATTTTTTTCAAGTTTATGCCAGTAACAATGTTGATGTAACCATTTCCCAACTTACAAAACTGAAATACACAAATGCTGAGTTCTCTCGTCTTTGCCTTTTAAGGAGTGCCTAAGAGACCTTTGTGTGTGTGTTTAGACAAATAGTTAAGCTAATGCAACACTGTGTATTCCAACATGCATCACTATCTACTAACTCACTATGTTGTTAAACTGTTTGCAGGTCAAAAGTGGACCAGATGAAGGAGATTGTAACCGGAAATCCAACAGTAATCAAGATGGTGGTGAGCTTCCACAGAGGCGCACGAGGACAGAACGCACTGAGGCAGATCCTGGCACCTGTGGTCAAAGAGATTATGGACGACAAAACGCTAAACATCAAGACGGACCCAGTGGACATCTACAAAGGCTGGGTGAACCAGATGGAGTCGCAGACTGGAGAAGCGAGGTGAGATGGAGGTCGGGTTGCATCATAAGATGGGACTCGTCTTGAGTCCTTGTTCATTCTAGAAATAGTTATTTTAACTTGTGTAGCTGCACTTCTTTATCATATCAGTTCCTCTTAAACATCATGCAGTAAAGCAAGATGAAAATACTAGCTTGTTATCTCATGGAGTGTGTTGTTTCCCCTCTATGCTGATGACACTCATTTCTGTTTTTATTATCTCTCTTCACTCTGATTAAACACAGCAGAACCACTGAGCACTGAATGTTTGATTCCTCTATTTTATCTATGTTGTCTGTTCGTTCTTTTGAGAAAATGAAGATGTTTCTATTTAATGGGCCATGGTTATTTCCTGGTATTTAGATATCTGACATTTCTGCACAGATTACTGATCAAATATTTTCCTTGGTGTGTTATTTGCATCAGTGGTTCAAAGAAACATTTTTATAGCTTTCTCAATTGAGAAGTCTTTATTGCCATGAAATATATGAAACATATCTAAACACTTCAAAATGAAGATTCAATAGTTATGGACAGCTTCTACCATTTTGTTTCTAAGAGTCGCTCTGGAAAATCTTTTTTAAGAATTATAAGTTCAGTTTGCTGCAGCTTTTTCCCAACTCCTCCTTTCCTGGTTGAACTTGTTGATGTTTTTTCTTTGTTTTTTTGTCTTGTTAACAGTAAGCTGCCTTATGACGTCACTCCAGAACAAGCCATGACTCATGAGGAGGTTAGGACGAGACTGGAGGCCTCCATCAAGCACATGAAGAGCATCACTGATAAATTCCTGTCAGCGATAATTGTCTCTGTGGATAAAATTCCGTATGTTCCTCATTTATCATAATAAAGATGTGTTGAACATTTTTTTCCCCCAGCATAGCCAGATTTTCCAATTTTACATCACTTTATGTTACTATTGTGTCTCAGATATGGAATGCGGTTCATCTCCAAGGTGCTAAAAGACACTCTACAAGAGAAGTTCCCAGATTCTACGGAGGATGAGCTGCTCAAGGTTTGCATCACAAAACAAAAACTTATTTATGCTGCATGACAAATTATTTCAGATCAAAATAGTTAACTTTGGAAAACGGCAATGTCAGAATTAATTACGGTTAGCTGATGTTGTCAGATGAATTTCAGCAACAGTGACAATAATTAACAGAGTATGTTAGCATAATAGGCTAATAACAACACACATGGATATTAGCATGTTAATGTTGGTCATAATGACCAATTTAAAATGTTGACTGGCTACCAGTTGCAATAATCAACTGTAGACTAAAGCAAAGTAATATTAATCAAAATAACTAAATTTGGATGTTAACCGTGCTAAAGTTGACATTAATCTAAATCAACTGTGGATATTAGCACTAATAATCACTTAGAGCTAATGGCCTTCTAATGTCAACCAGAATAAAAATGATGGATCCTAGCATTCTGATGTTCGCAATAAACAACCAACTATGGACGTTATTATGCTAATGTTTAAACATAGCTAACCATGGAAGTTAGCATGCTAAAGTTGATCATGATTAACTTTGGATTTTAGCGTGCTATTGTTAGCATAAAAAATAATTATATGTATATTAGGAGCTGTTAATCATAATAGCCCTGTGGAAGCTGGTATGCTAATGTCAATACTGACGATGTTTAAGCTGTTGGCTTACATTAGCATGCTAATGAAGGCATTTATCACAATTTACCATGAATGATGTTAGAATCCTCTTGTCAGTTGTTGGCATTCTAATGTTTGCATTAATCATAACAAACTATGGATGATCTTATGGTAATTGATCACTTATTAACTATTTATGCTAATGTTTGCATCAATCATAATGATGAACCGTGGCTCATCATATGGTAACAATAATTAAGGATATTATCACAGTAATCAACAGTGAGTATTAGTTTTTAAATGATTTTTACGTAAAGTGTGTTTAATTGACCCATTATCTCAACCCATTTACTCATTTAACAGTTTTCATGCCCATTTTCTTCCAGTTCTGCCTTTCTTTGTTACACATCTCTTTCCTTTATCTTCTTCTGGTGTTGCCCTCTTCCTTCCACGTTTCCAACCAGCTCCAGTTTCTCTCTGTCGATTTTCAGCTGCTCCCTTATCTCTGCTGACACTAAGGTGAGCCAAGCCACCTCTTTAGGCTTTCTTTCATGCTGCTCTCTTTATCATTTAGACATTTCTGCATCTCTCTGAAGCATTTACTGAGCTGTTAAATCCCCACTTCCTTCATATTTATGCTAAAGGTCTTGTAAAATGGGAAAAAAGATTATTTGCACTAATACCACTTGTTCTGAGTATCATCGTTGAAGTGATGGAGCCATTTGAACTTTGCAGATCGTGGGGAACCTTTTGTATTACCGCTACATGAACCCTGCTATTGTAGCACCTGATGCCTTCGACATTATTGAGGTGTCTGCTGGTGGTCAGCTTACCACTGAGCAAAGAAGGAACCTGGGTTCTGTGGCCAAGATGCTTCAGCACGCTGCGTCCAACAAGATGTTCCTGGGAGACAACGCTCACCTCAACCCCATCAACGAATATCTCAGCTCCTCCCACCAGAAGTTCAGGTCTGAAATCTTAATACTTCTGAATATTACTGCCAAAATTTTTCCTTTTGTTTTCAAACTCATTATTTTCTCCTTCTTTCACAGGCGTTTCTTTTTGTCTGCATGTGACGTTCCCTCACTTGAAGATAAATTCAATGTGGACCAGTACTCAGACTTGGTCACGGTCACCAAACCTGTCATCTACATCTCCATTGGAGAGATCATAAACACTCACACTGTGAGTTTATATCACCCCGTTCTAAAATTGATTGATTATTCCATGATTATTTGATTAAAACAAGCAATCTTTTGTGTTCTGTTAGCTGCTGCTGGATCACCAGGACGCCATTGCACCTGAACACAATGACCCCATCCATGAGCTGCTCACGGACCTGGGGGACGTTCCCACTGTGGAGTCTCTTATTGGTGAGTGGATTAAAATGACCAGATTATTTTAAAATGTCTCTAATCTCTTCTGGCCCTAAACTGACTCGTCAAACCAGATTTTTAAAGCAGCCGTATTATGCAAAAATTCACATTTGCATGTTTTTGCACTTCCGTTTGGGTTTCTACTGCTTCTAAAAACAAACAAACCAAAAAACAAAAACAAATAAAGCACTCAGCCAGTTTTTGGCAATAAGTTAATGTTTTTTTGTGTCTGGAAAATTAGTGAAGCCCATTTCATTACCTAACAACCCAAGCTGAGTGGCAGTCCGTTATGCACTGTACAATGGCTGCTGGAAAAGACGAGTGTATTGTTGCTAATTTACTATCCAGAAACCGCTTGCTGCATTCTTGCTGGTTGTGCAGGAGGCTCCGCTTCTGCTTTTTAAAGATGTATGGTTGTGTAATTGTTGTGCATCTGTTTGCAGCCATTTTAAAGTGCGAGTGTAAACATTTAGTTGGGGGGCGTGGCCAGCAGCAGCTTATTTGGATTTAAAGTGACAAGACGCCCTAAAACAGGTTATTCTGAAAGGAGCTCGATGTAGGCAGACCTGAGCAGACTAAACCCTCATTATCTAAGACAGATGTTGTGAAAAAACAATGTAATGAACATGTTTTGTATAGCCTGTAGACATATGCTAACTAGTTCAAGGAAGCATACTGTGTTCACGTAATGTTGAATTTTTTTTATTTTAATCAAACGAGCACCACTTTACTTTTATGATTTGGCTACATTAATGATGAGAGCAGTTTCTGACCGTTTCTGCCCTCCATCCGTCTGTCAGGTGAAAATCCCCTTCCTCCAGACGATCCCAACAAAGAGCTGATGGGAAAGACGGAGGTCTCACTCACGCTCACCAACAAGTTTGACGTTCCTGGTGAGGCCAATACAGAGATGGACGCCAAGACTCTCCTGCTCAAGTGAGTTTGGCCCCTACAGGAAGATCTTCTGAAGCGTAATCAGAAACATTTTCATCTTCGTTTTGTCGTTTCCAGCACCAAGAGGCTGATTGTGGATGTCATCCGGTTCCAGCCTGGAGAGACTCTGACTGAGATCCTGGATTCAACAGCGTCTCCAGAGCAGGTTGGATGTGCTGAAAATTAATGACTTGAGTCATTGCTTCAAACAGACACCAGGGGGCGCCCAGCATTTAGCCATGTTTTTCTTTGATTAGAGTGGAAAACTACAGCATTACCTTGAGGCACAAAATGGGAACTTAACATGCTTGAAGACAAATGCTGACTTCACTTTGTGACGGATCAAGTGCAAACAGAGTTGCACTTCCCACCTATTTGGCAACATCCTCTTTTTGAAAAATTGAAAATTTCAGACCCAGAGAAATTCCTTCATTAGTCATTAGTTGTCCTGATTGCTCTGCTGTTTATCTATTTAAATTACCATAAAATCAGTTTTATCCACACTATGTTGAGCAGAAGTGTTGAACGATTCCTGTTGTTTTGATAACTTCTGTTTTTTAACCACACAGTCCTAGTCATTTTTTTCAGACTGACGCATCTTCTTTCCTCATTTTGCTTTTAAGCACACAGGATGTTATCACAGTTTGGGGAAACAAACCGTGAAATCAGCCAAAGTCCAAGAAAAGAGACCTTCAGAAATCAAATTATTCTTCAAGCACCTGTACTAACATCTGGTTAAATAAATGCATAAATATCTAGCCATTTACTTTAGCTAATGAGCCAATATGAGCAAATTTTTCTTTTAGCACAATCGTGTTTTTGCTAACTTTGATAACGTTTAGTGCACTTAACTTTAATAACTGAATTCTTTCAGATAAACTTGAAAACGCTAATTTACTTGGTTGTTTAAAGTTTCAGTTGAATAAAGTCTGAAATCGGTGTTAAAGTTTTAGTTGTCAACCATTAAGAATTCAATTAGACTTTTATATTAATGCTCTTATTTTGAAGGGGGTGAAGACTGTTTACGCAGATTTTCCGTTTCCTCAAGTTTTCTCTTTTTTCTTCAATAACTTTATTTCAAACAAACGTACAGAAACAAGCTTCCACTAAGTACCATGTTGGTTTAGTGCTTTACGATTAGTGCTTTAGGGTTAGCACAACTAGCTTTCCAGCTAGCAGTGCCCACCACTGGAGATGATGTTAATGTCTTTCCAGAAGCATCATGTTGGCCTGATTTCTCTGTTCCAAAACAGATAAGTCCAAAAGGTTTAGATGATTACAGTTGGATCTCTGTCCAGATTTTTAACATCTGACTCAAACTGACCTCAGATAAACGGAACATTTTTAGGATGTTCATGAAGGACCTAGGAACCACCAAGACTTGGGTCTACAATGGACGAGAAGATGCTGGAACAATCAGAGGTTAGAGATTTGGTAGCCATGTAAGACATAGATTGATGAGTACATTTGGAGGAGTCCAATTTAAAACTACAAACAAAGTAGCAACTACGGCTGGACAATATGGCTGAAAAACGTATCACGATATAAGCGTTTTATGTCAGTCGATATCGATAATTATTGATTAATTTTGTGTTTTAAATATCTGAAAAACAGCCAAACGGGTGGCGTGAACCTTCCTATTTTATCCACAGTTTTCATTACACTGCGCTGTTTTTTATTTTTAAGAAGTTTGGGGCAAAGTAGCAAACCCTGAAACTGCTGCTGCATAAGTTATTTAACAGGTTGTTGCTAGGTGACCAGAAATTACTCAACAGGTTGTTGCTAGGATACCAGAAGTTACTCAACAGGTTATTGCTAGGATACCAGAAGTTACTCAACAGGTTGTTGCTAGGATACCAGAAGTTACTCAACAGGTTGTTGCTAGGATACCAGAAATTACCCAACAGGTTGTTGCTAGGTGACCAAAGAGCGACTGAGTTAGTTGGTTCCTCCCACCTAGCTTACCTGACTGTGAGAGGTTGAGCATCTACAGCCTTTCCTCTGCCTACATCCCCCAGAATGCTGTGCGGTTCTGTCCCAACAGGAAAACAATCCAAAACAAACATCTAACCTGGTTCTGAAATGGATAAATCAGCTTCTGGGAAGGCCTTCCTGTAGTACCCCTTCATCTTTCCCCTCATGAATGAACAAATCCCAGAGATTTCTAACAATTATTGCACGTTGTGTTTTCAGGCCTTAAAAGCCCAAAAGTTGCAACCAGGTTGTTTTTGTGCTTTCAGGAAGCGGAGTACCAGCGCGCTATGCAGAGGAGAGCCATCAGGGATGCAAAGACCCCAGAGAAGATGAAGCAGGTGAAGCCGGTGGTGGACGACAGCCTGACCCTGCAGGGCAAAAAGGACAAGATCAAGAGCAACCTGCAGCGGCTGGCCGAGCTCGGGAAGGTCCACCCGGAGAACCGCTACCAGGACCTCATCAATGACATCGCCAAGGTTGGACAAATAAACGCTTTATCTGTGGGGTTTAAAAAACAGCCTGACAAGATAATGGAAACTGAAATTAAACATTTTTGTTTTCTGAAATAAACAAAAATGGTAATGAAATGGTGGAGAAACTATATTGTGCTTTTATAAGACAAAAATCTACTGAAATTATAGCTACAATATCATTTGTTTTAGTGTTTTAATCTATTTATTGATCTTTTGAACTGATGTTTGATTGATTTAAATTGTTCCCCCACACAAGCAGCTTAAGTTTCGTCTCCAAAATGGCGGCAGCAAACGTTGGGAGAAAACACCAGTCAGTTGGTTCTTCAACAATATTTGAATAAATACATTTGGTTGAGTATTCATTACCCAATCAATGTAAACATAATCACTGTACAATACTTAAAACTTTTTGAACTCTGCATCTTAATATTAAACAAAATCTGAAAAAACAAACAAAAAAACTACTACTATAATTAGTAAAGAAAAACAACATTTAACTAATAAAAACTAGCAAAAAGGCCTGTCAATATTAATACATCAAATATTATTACATCAATCAACAAACTCTAATAAACATTTAACACACTCAAATATCCAAAATAAAAAAACAGAAACAACAAACAAATATAATGAATAATGAAGTCTCTGTAAACAAAATTTTCATCAGAGAAAGATGAGTTGAGACCAATGCACCAGAGTGAAGATTTTTAACTTCCAGTGTTTGGTAGAAAGAGAGAAAACACTCTAAAAACAAATTAAAACTAACTGGATTACAGAAACAAAAAGTCAGAATGAAATAAAACTAAACTACAATGAAATACCTAAATACCAGGGTCACATTGTTACCCTGGTTTAAATGTGTGTGTTAATGTGATGTGATGTGTGTGTGTGTGTGTGTGTGTGTGTGCTGCAGGACATCAGGAACCAGAGACGGTATCGGCAGCGCAGGAAAGCCGAGCTGGTGAAGCTTCAGCAGACCAACTCGGGCCTGAATTCAAAAACCACCTTCTACAACATGCAGATCGATTCCTACAACCAGTACATCAAGACGTGCATGGACAACCTGGCCAGCAAGGGCAAGTAAGTAGACGTCACACCGGGGTCCTTCAGCTGATCCTCCTTAAAGCCAAACCTCCGGCCATGAGGTCCAAAAGCACTTAGGAGGCCAAAAAAGACTTTAAAACAACCCCTCTGCTCCTTTTTAAAGTTTATCTGCTCAGTAATAAACTACAGTAAAACTTGAAATAATTGTAGATACAAAACGGAAAAAGATTTGTCAAAACTGCGTAATAATACAGACAGGCCCACAGTTTGTTAATGTTTGTGGTTTTACTCCAAAGCTATGACAAAAGTAGAAACATTAATAAATGGGAATCTAGTTTTTGGTACCTCAGATGTTTTTTAAGATGTTATGTAAAATCTTGCTCTACAATATGAAAACTTTGAGGTTGGGAACCGCACAGAATCTTTCTGAGGGCCGAAAATGGCCCCCGGGCCAATATTTGCTAGTTCTTTTCAATGTTTCTCCAGCGTTTGGAGCCACTATGGAAGGTCAAAAGAGACACTTATTTGCAGAATAATAGGGTTTAAAGCCTTAAACTCCTAATTAAGTTCTGCATGTTTTTTCCCCTCCTAGTGGCCATCAGGTGTAATGCTGTTTTTTTGATGAACTCTAAAACGTTTTTTCATTTGAGACTTTTACAACAAAGCCAGTAACAGAATCAGGATGTGTGTCAAACACAAAATCTACAGGAAACTCACCAAGTGCCTAAAAAACCTCTTATAAACTTTGTTCTGAAAGCGTTCTTCATGTTTTCCTCTCAGGTTGTCAAGGAAACCAGGCGACAACAAGGCCAAGAAGAGTAAGCAGGTTGCCCAGAAATACACAGCAGCTCGGCTGAAGGAGAAGGGAGTTCTGATCTCAATAGATGATCTGCAGCCCAACCAGTGAGTGAAGAACTGCAGCTCAGTGAATCGGCCTTTTGTGCAACTGACGCCGTTTTAAACGGCTGAGGACTTCGTTGCGTTTTCTATCAGATTCTTCATGAGTGAATCTGTTTTTCCCATTGCAGATATAAGAATGCGATCTTTGAGATCTCTCCCTCCGAGACGGTTGGCGTGTTCGACGTGAAGGCCAAGTTCATGGGCGTGCATTTGGAGACGGTGTCATTAGAATATCAGGTACTGCTCCGCATTTCAGCAAACTTGGCAGGAGGCTTGGCAGCGACACCGCCGTGTTTTACAAACTCTCCTGATCCGGTTTTGGTGGTGAATGTTTCTATTGTTGAACAGAACAATCTGAAGCAGATTCCTAAAGCAGAAGCCTAAAAACTAATTTTGCTCATGGTAATATGACCCAAAACGACCATCCAGCTTCATGTCGGGGCCTAGAGATAAATCAGTTTTATGGATTAATCAGATTTTCGCTTTTGGAGGATTACATTTATCAAAAATCTGGATTTTTTTTTCCTCCAATGCACTTTTTGGATTTTCATAGTCCAGCATGTCAGCCTTCTTGTTTTACAGCTTCTATTTATTTATGAACCTTTAAATTCAGGTTAACGATGGAATATTTGGGCCAACCTACAGTTTTATTTAACCATTTTAACTAGTAGAATAAATTCATATTATTGCAAGAATAAAGTTGTAATGTTAGGATAATAAAGTAATTTGATTTAAAAAATCCAACATGAAAAATAACAATGGAGGAATGTTGAGCATCTTGTAGTTTAGGTTTTACGAATATTTCATCTTTTAACACATCATTAAGTTATTTTTAGCAGTAGCTTGACTCAGTCATGTAAACAACTGAGTCTGTTTAGAAGACACAGACACAGACTGAGCTGCTCACATCAGGCCCAGATAACTACAGAAGATTTTTTTAATGAAAACTTTTTTCTTATAATTTTTGTAAATTTCTTTCTGGTAAAGTTGCATCATTTTCTGCTAATATTGTGACTATATTCTAGTATTTAAACAAAAATTCCCATGTCTCAGTTGAGCAACTCAAAGAAGGGATGTAAAATGCCACTTTCTGAAAATACTTTCTGTAATTTGTAATTTCTTTCTTGGAAAAGAAAGTGAGAAAAAAACTATTAAAATTGGATATGGATTATTTTATGTCAAATCTCTGTGCAGATGTAAAGTCAGTGTCTTTTTGTGTTAGCAGTTGTGTGTTAGCAGCATGCGGACAAACTGTGAACCATTCCGAGCAATAAAGACGAGAATCATTCAGAATCTGGTCCAGATGTCAGAATATTGCATAGAGATGGAAATGATTGCATAAATTTGATGTGTGCTGATGAAACCCTGTGAAAGTTTTCCATTTTTTGAATGTTTTTGTCTCTGTTTGTCTCCCAGGATCTCCTCCAGCTGCAGTATGAAGGCGTGGCGGTGATGAAGCTCTTCGACAAGGCCACCGTCAACGTCAACCTGCTCATCTTCCTGCTCAACAAGAAATTCTACGGGAAATAGAAAGAAAAGAAAAGGAGCAAAGAGCTACAGACACTGAAATGAAACAGAACCTGGGGGCTGCCTTAACGCCTGCTCTCACTGCACCTCTCTTTTCTGCCTATGCAAATTTCTGTGCATTATTTTTATTTTGTTTTTTTATAAATATATCAGGTGCGTCTCCATGCGCTCTTTTGTCCAAGTTTCTCATGCATCTCATTGCATAGCTGCAGCAAAGTCAGATTTGTATTTTTTGCTTGAATTATTCTGAATATCTTGTACACGGGCTTTGATTTGTTATTGAGATTATTTTATGTAAAGATGTTTTTTCCCAGCTGTCAGTTTACCTACTCAGTCCAGATCCATTGAGCATCAGTAGAAAAATACATGGCAGCATTTTGAAGCCCAGGCTTTTATCTGCACCGAGCTCTTCCTGCTGCTCCTAACACAAATATGTTTTGAAGGGAAATGATAGATTAGCTCCAGTTTTGGATATGACATTCACCCCAAACTGTACAAAAGTGGTGAATATTTGATGAGGAAAATCTAAATATTTCTCTATTTTAGACGTATGGACAATAAATATTGGCACTAATCTGACCTCTTAGTGTTTTCCATGTTTCTTGAAGCAGGCGGAGTCCAAACCTTTGCTCAGATGGACTCGTCAATCAGCTTTTTGAAACATTATTTTATATATTTGAATATATGAATATATATCCACTTTAGTCCATTTATCTTCTGATTAAAGCAGGTCTGTGATTGCTGCAGTGAAGACATGTCTGCTGATTTGCAAAGACTCTGTTGTATTTTAACTGAAAAATGCATCAAAGTTGTCTTTATTTATATTTTATATGTTGTCAGTTTCCATTAAATGATAGCTTATGTTTGCTAAGCCTGAGACGGATCTCTTGCATGAGCTCAAGGATGTTCAGTATTACATTGATAAAATGTGGGGAGGAGGAGTCCAGCAGATGGCGCTGCACACCATCCAGTTTTCCCGGCGATCATTTGATTTCGCCTGAAACTCGGACTCTGTGTGGACTCGGTTATCTGGATGTTAAATTTTCAGTCTGTAAAGTTGTCGGTCGGTGGCGCTGTCTGCAGCCCAGACTGTGATGTACTCTCCCTGTTTTAGAATAAAGCTCTTTAAATGCATTGTGGTTGTTCCTGAGGTAGGTTGCTAGATCTGTGATTATTGGATCATATTAATTAATAATGAGCTGCAGCTGGTACCATTGTTGCCTTGCAGGAAGGAGCTCCTGGGTTCAAACCGCAGCGGGGGTCTTTCTGCATATTCTCCCTGTGCATGCATGGGTTTTCTCCGGGTACTGTGACTTTCTCCCAGTGGTGGAGAAAGTACTCAAAA